AACCCTATTCAAACTATGAAGGCCCCCACATTAGTTCAGACCCCAACCCCCAGTTGAAGCTATGCTTCCTTGCCCTCATGCTCGATCCTGTCTCTGCAGTATCCCAGGTATCTTCACCACCAAGGAGAAGGCCATGGAACGTGCGGGAAACCACAAGTCCTAGATGGGAGTGTCAAGAAATGTGGGATCGAATCCTTAGTAGTAATCTTGGCCGCCAAAAATGCATCCAACCTACACCTTGAAGTTAGTAGTAGTTCATGTTTGGTCGTTCAGGGTGGCATGTAGCAGATGTAACCTACGAAACTGTTGGTTGCAGTTCAGGCGGCAGCTTCTGCTACTGAAACTTGAAGACCCAAACGTTGCACTCAACTTACACCCGGACCACCCTGTAAATGTATAGCACGTAGCACCCGAAACCCTCGCCGCGGGGGACCCGATCCATGGAATCCTTGGTTCGAACCGCTGACTGCTCACTGCCTGCCACATATCCCCGAAAAAAGCTTTTAAACCCCTTGCAAAGCCTGAGAAAGAATCGATAGGCCCCTGTAAGACTCTGGTAAGCCTTGAACAAAGACCTGGTGAGCCCGCGGCATGAACTCCAATCTAACCCACCGATCCCGTGAAAGTTGGAAGAAGCTCGGAGCCCCAAACTCCTAAACCCTAAACCCTAGGCCGAGCTGCACATCAAAGGCGGCGCCAAGAAGGCCTTATCCTCGGGCCCTGTTTTTTTTTTGGAGGGGGGATGTTGGGGATCAGAATTGTGGATGTTTGGCGTTCAAGCTTAGGGTGTGGAATTCACAAGGAAAGTTCTGGGGATCAAACTTTTGGATGGCGTTGAAGCTCAGGATTTGGGATTCGCGCCTTCGGGCTTAGTCACTTAGATCGCGCTCAGTTCACCCCCATTGCTTTTTTTTTTTTTTTTTTTNNGGTCTGGGGTTTAGGGTTTCGGTTCAGGGCTTTTGGGGTTTAATTTTGACGATCCATCTTTAGATTCTTGTGGGGTGTTGATGATGCTCTCGCAGGCTTCGTTTTGGGGGCTGCAGGGCTGACAGGGGCGTTGGCAGGTTCCTAATTTTGGAGCCTCTGCTTTAGGCAGACCGTAGCCTATAGTTAGTATACTGCACGATCAAATACTCCACCATAACTATATTGCAACATACTATAGTATACTGCGACATACTATAGCTTACTACAATACACGATAGTGTATTCTAGTATACTATATTACACTATAATGTACTCTCATGTACTCTAATACGCTCGGCTCTTTGTGCTTTCGTCGGAGTACTGCAGGAACGAAACTTTTCAGTCCGAAAGTCGGCACTTAACCCTAAAACCTTCAAATCTAACCCGAAATGGGGTTTCCTGCTTAAGGTNNGGTTTTAGGGTTTCGGGTTTAGAGCTTTAGGGTTTGGGTCCCGGGTTTTAGGGTTTTCGGCTTTAGGGTTTAAGGTTTTAGAGTATACGGGCTGTGCAAGATCCCGCACCCTCAGTACAGGGCCCTCAGGGCCGGACCCTGAGCTCTCGACCGTGGAACCTCGAGCATGAACTTGAAAACCCTAAACCCTAAACCCTAAACCCTAAATCCTAAACCCTAAACCCTAAACCATGCATGTGAATCCCAGTTTAGGGTTTAGGGTTTCCAAGTCTGCTATGCTGCAACGGAGTGTGGTCTGTGCGATCTAGCCTGATTTTACGTTGCATGTGGGTGTGTATAGCAGAACTGATACAAGTACTCTGGAGAAGCAACTGACGACTAAGCTTGCGGGGATCCAAGTCCTGAGTGCTTCCTTAGCGAAGCCTCAGCTCAACTTACCCTAACCCCTAAACCCTAACCCCTAAACTCTAATCCCTAAACCTTAAACTTATCCTTCTCGGCCCTCAAGCCTTCAAATTGCCCCCGAGCTAAGCACCTCAAGCCCGAATCCCGAGCGCCCGGAACCGCTTCACCTTATGCAGGTCATCATCTCTGCCCCGCCCAAGGAGACTTGCTGCGTGGTTTCTTGGGGCACCGGCCGAAGCCCAGAAACCTTCAAGCCCCGAGCCATCCTATGACTGTGACAGCGCCTCCGAGAGAGGATGACGTCCCCATGTACGTCGTTGGCGTGAACCACACCGAGTACAAGAAGACCGACACTGTGGCCCTTTGCTTCTGATGGGAGTCTCGTGGAAACTTCGAGGGTCTCCGAGTTCCCAGGAGCTTGGCCTCTTGTTTTCGTTTGGGGACGGAAGGAGTTTTGTGCTTCCTGCCTGGGACCGCGGTTCAACTCAGGTTTTGGGACTGGAGCTTTGGGGTTCGGGGTTTAGGGTCGAGGGTTGAGGGCTGCTGCAGAGGTTCTGTGCCAAATTCTCAGAGGGCCTGGCAATTTCATGCCACGCTCGAGCTTGAGCATGTTCCGACGTCTTCTAGACGGGCACACGCGCATCCGGATCCCGACACCTGACCTGAGGGCCACAGGATTTACATTTACTGAGTTCAAGGTTTCCTTCCCTGACTTGCGTATCTCATTGCTTGTAGCAAATGTTGGATTTGAAAACCCACCAAAGCCAGCTGTTGATGCCATGGCTTTGACAGTATCCAGAACTGCTATCTCTGAAGCCCTGCAGCAACAGAGACAACAAGCGCTCAAGCCCTAAACACAAAGCCCTTTCCTCCTGCGATGCCTCACCACACCCAAGCACCCCCAAGTTTAACCATAGCTTAAGCCCGAAAAATCAAATCCCTAACATAAACCCGCGCTACACCAAACCCAAGCCCCAAACCCTCAACGAGGCCTTAAATCTCAAACCTCCACACCAACCGAGGTGTCTAACGCCTCCTGCACGACCAACTGCCTGGCCCCGCTGACCAAGGCGGCAAACAGACAGATAGTTTTGGAGCCTCCTCAAGTAATGTCACCTATTAGTCCCCATTCGAATCAACACTGATGTGTTCCCCTCAGGTTTGACAAGACTGTTGATTGAAGTGTACTCCCAAAGTCCATGTTGGTTATATAGTGATATAGGGCCCCATCAATAGCACCGGCAGGTTGTTCATGAGAAGTTCGGCATTATCGAGGGCTTGATGACCACCGTCCACGCCAGGGCCTCGGCGAAGGAACCTCCAGGAGTCCTCTTTAGTTTGTTTTCAAGAGTTGTTTTGGAAGGATGCCTTCTTTAAAGGGTTGCGTTTCCTTTTCAGGGCTCCTTTGAGGGTTTCTTGTCAATGGGCTTTTGTCATGCTTCCTCGAAGGGTTTGTTGATTTGGGCGAGCTTGTTTAGGTTCGTGAGATGGGTTACGGAATCGTAGGTTGTAGATCCTTAACTGGGGCTCGGGTTCAGGGTAGGGGTAGGTTGAGGCTTTGGTCTCCTCAGCACGGAACTGAAAGCCAGGAAGCCAAGAAGCCTTGAACACCCGATGCCTCTCAGACTCTCACCCACTGAGGCAATGACTGCAACACAGCTTACCGTGGACGGCCCCTCTCGCGGTGGCAAGGCGGCACCGCATGCCATGGACACATACGCTATGGTGACAGTGAGTTGTCGTTGCAGCAGAAGTAGTACTACCGCAGGACGAAAGTTCGCCACACAGCTTCGAAGTCAACACATGAGACCCTGGAACCTCTTTTCCCCCTTAGATTCCTCGCACAAGATCCCACAAGCTCTCCGCTGAGAACAGTAGAGCAGTATAATTTCATTCCAGGAAGTTAACTGCTCCGCCACGCTGGCCACGTAAAACGGACCTGCGGCTACTCCGCTTTTCCGCGGTATATGTTCATGGTACATTGACAACATCCTGGCCGTGTGTCGAAACTTTGTGTCCCGGTGATGTACTCGTAGTAGTAGTAGTAGTAGTAGTAGTAGTAGTAGTAGTTGTAGTGCTAGTGGTACGGTTGATGGACAAAATCAGGCATGACCTTACATATTTGGGTCATGCAGAATTTTGTCCATCAACAGTAGTGGTAGTGGTAGTGGTAGTGGTAGTGGTAGTGGTAGTGGTACTGGTAGTAGTAGTAGTAGTAGTAGTAGTAGTAGCAGCAGCAGTAGCAGTAGCAGTAGCAGTAGTAGTAGCCCGCCGTTGGCGGCTTGTTCTGCTGACTCCAGTACTGCCTTCTAGCAGCAGCA